CCAACTAGAACTTGAGCTGACTTGCCCAAAAATTTGTAGCTAAGCATTTCCCACCTTAAAAACTTATAAACTTGGAATGATATTTCTTAATTTTGTGAATATAAAAGTGAGTCAATATATGAAGCGTGAGAAAGATTTATTAGGTAAGTTCACCGCACGCAGAAATGAGTACGGTAAACCAATTAAAATTTTTCCCCTACCAAAAATGTATGACAGTTGGGCCCAATTAACAACTTGGAGAGCGATATAAGTTGAGTCGGCTGTCCGCATGAGATAATCGCTTGCTCCCAGAAGCGCTCATTCGTCCCAAACCAACTAGAGGCAACTACTTATCCTACACCACCGTATCAAGATTCACATTTCAACAAACCTAAGCATCCAAACGTCCAATCCTGAATCCGTACGCTAACTAAACCACCATTAAATTCCACCAGAACTATTCATTCCCAGTAGCATTCCGCAATAAAGCTCGCTCCTCCCTCCCTCACTCTTCTTGTGCACAAACCGACACAGCACATGAAGAAAACGCCGAGCGCATCCCCCCTTTCCTCCGGTGAATCGTCCGCGATCGATTCTCTCACTCGGCGAACTCACTCCTTCCCCTTCTCCCCTCAACGGCCTGCTTCCTCCTCCGCCATCCCATTCTCCTGGGAGCACGTTCCCGGCATACCCAAAAACCCTAGAAAACCTAATTTCAATTCAAGTCCCGATCGCATCCCTCTCCCTCCACCTATCCGATTTGAATCCCTAAAATCATGGTCGGAGGCCGACCCTTTCGCGGTGGCGTTCGCCGAGTGCGCTAAGGAGAAGCCGCCGGTAGATCTTGAACGGGAGGAAATTTTTCGGCGGAAATCGGCGGTTGTTACGGATTCAGGGAAGCGGAGGACGGCGGCGTGGTTCACCGTCGGCGGGTTAGGGTTTTACGGCTTGTATGTGTCTTGCAAGGCTGCGGCGGCTACGTGCTCCGTTGTGGATTCTACGGTCCGTGTGCGGCGGACCGGGACGGTGAACCGCCGGTGAGGGTGAGAGGAGGCGGGCCGGCGAGCGGTAAGGGTGAACTGTACCGACCATCG